AAGCTGGATCTATCTCTATGTATTAAAACTTCTTCAGAATATATAATGTGATTTTATTTATTTATTCCACAATTCAATATTTTTGAGCAAAAAGTAAGATGCCAAGGTTCTATGTAAAGTATAACCTTAAAACCTTAATATTTTTATATTTAGATGTGGATGACTTCACCCGGTACATCCAAGATAAAATTATTTCGTAATATGATGGTCATTGATAATATGTTCTTATTAGACTGGAAGGAGGATCTAAATCATAACTTATAATTGGAGAAGCACTTCATAATTTAAATGTTTTGGATTCAAGTAAAACTAAGATGGATTGTTGTTATAGTCGTAGGTCTTGTCCTAAAATGTGCTTGCATTTTGATATCGTGATTAATGGATCTTCGATTCACATTCTATTACCTCAATCAGAATCTTTCAGCAATAATTCTAATTTTGGATGTCGAGTTGATCTCTTTAGTGTTTTTAAATATATTTGTATCATGGTTAAACAATCTATCTTGCTTGCTAATATTAGGGCTAAACTATTTATAGCTTATGATGAATCTAGGGAGAATCTTGATAGCCTATCGTCTATTTAAAGCGTGTGTTTGGGATGCAATATTGAACAATATAATATTTAACGGCTTTTTCTTCTTTAATGATATCCTATCGTCTATTAGTGATTTTGATCTTTCATTTTTACATTGGTAATAATTAATTGCTAAGGCTATTATGTTATACACTATAATTTGACTTGGCTCTTTCAAAGGAGTTGTTGAAGTAAATACCACAACACAAGTCATTTTGTCTTGAAAAGACTACATATTTGTTATGATAGTAATGTACAAATTATGAATCTCCCAATTTGAATGGAAAATTATTGCATTGTAAGATGGCTGAAGTGTTTCGAGTTAACTAAAAACATTATTGGCAACCATTAATATCATTGATGGTATATACTTAACATAGATGCAATGGTGTACAAAGTGTTTTTCTAGTCTAGATTATGAAGATTAACTTTGACTTGTTGTAACCTATCTTTTAGTTCTATAGAGCATTTCATGTCTGGGGTAATTAGTTGGTGAATTATTCATATAAGGCTTTTTATCTGCATGCTTGAGCAAAGATTTTTTTTCCTTGCAATGATTAGTGTCTTAGTGTTATAGAACATTAATTAATAATAGGTTTTTAAGGGGAATTTACAATAATGCAAACTCTCTGATGTTCATGTATCTAATAAAGCCTATGCTTAATTTTTGGAGTCTCTTTTTCTTTATATTCACTACTTTCGTAACTGTACTAAGTAGAATGAGAACTGAGTCCAATAATCTTGAAGAGTTAGGTCAAATGTTATCTAGCCGTTTATTTAGTTCTGGGAATGGCACCTTGCCGTTTTAATGAAAGTAACAAGATTAGACTCTACCATGTTCATTCCAACACTTCCTACATTAACACACTGAGTAATATTGTAAATTTTTAATATTTGTTTGTTGCTTATTTAACATATTATCATAAATATTTCATATTTGTTCATTAATTAATTAACACGATCATTTTATAAATTTTTTATTGTAGAAATGGAACACTTATTTGAGTATGTGATTCCCGTTGAAAATAGAATTAGAGGTAGACCTTCACAAAAGTGTTTCCTTCAAAAACTTGACTATGTTTGGGAGATATTAGATGATGTTCATCGAGATATGTTGATGGAATCTTGTTTCGGATAACTTTATCGAATGAAGCGTATACCTTTTTCAGTCCAACTAGTCCACCAACTTGCAATGAGAAGGATTGTGACCAAAAAACAATAAAAATCTTGTTCAATTTGTTAATTCAATAATTTACAAGAAGAATATGATGGCCAATTCATTTGGCTTTTCTAGTTTTTTCTCCTGGCAGAGGTGTAGGAAATATTTATTTATTTTTGTATAATTTAATAAGATGTGGAAATTGGGTAGAATAGCCTATTTACGATGTTTGTTTTTGGAAGTGCAACGTTATACAGAAAGATGTGTAAGTTGAATATTTGTTGTGCACATAGCAAAAAATACTTCATTAAGTTGATAGTGTTTATTAAGCAGTAGTCCTCTTCTAGTTTTTCTAATACTTACTATGTAGGGATAGATTAGTTACACTCATTTCTACATCCACTGGAGTTTGGATAACCGACAATTGTGATTCTATTTTAAGATAATCGTATTGTCAAGTAGAATTCAACTTTTAAAAGAATCTTGTTTATATGTCATGTTTTGTAGTAGCAATTTTGCATCAATAAGACATCTTTTTGTGAAGTTTTACATTTTTGCGATTCTGGATTTTAGATAGAATCCAACTGTATGTCTAATAAAAAGTTAATCCTTGGGGTAAACTCCATCTGAATCCATTTCAATACCATCAATATGCGAGCTCATCTTTCTCTCCTGTAATTTACTTACAGATTCAACCATCTTCATAAAGAATGTCACCTGCA